AGAGAGAGAGAGAGAGAGAGAGAGAGAGAGAATTCGAGCAAAATGTATATCAATGATCACCCTTTCTTCGTCACAAAAAGGAAGCTCGTATAAATTTTATAATACCTTCGCTATATAAACGAGTAGTTTATTTTCCTAATTTATGTAAAGTGAAACCATATCGTTACTCTACACTGTTTAAATATAAAATAGAATAGAAGTTTAATTTCACGGCTGTTTTCTAATGGTGGTAATCATAGTTTCTTAAGAAATGGATTTAAAAAATCGCCAAACGTTTAATATTAGATGTACAATTAAGTTTTAAAGCGTTTTTAACTAAATTTAATATTTATTTATTTAGAAACGAAAACACATTTAATTATCAAAATAATCCCCGTCATATCTATGATCTTTAGTCATCTTTCGAGCAGCTTGCGAATTCCAGAAGCAAAAAAGGTTTCGTCTTTCGATACAATAAAATTATTCACCCATTTTCGCACTTCTTCAAATGCTCGAAAATGTACATCAGATTAGGCATTTTGCATTGACCGGAATAAATGATAATCTGAAGGGATTATGTCTGGACTATATGTATACGCCGGGTGCGGTAGAATTTCCCACTCAAGCGCTAGTAACGTTTCCCTTACAGGTTTACCAACTTGATTTAAACGAATCAATTGTTGACTGTAGCGATCACTGTTAACCGTTTCATTCGGGTGGAACAGCTCAAAATATAGTACAACCTTTATATCTCACCAGATGCATAGCATAACTTTGCTGCTGTGGATGTTGCATTTTGACGTTAATGTAATGGGTTGTCCTGGATCCAAATAATGTTTTCTCTTTTTAGGATTATCGTAAAAAGTCCACTTTTCATCACAATTTTCCACAAGAAACATTTTCTATGCTGTTTATTGTACAGACTCAAACACTTCTCAAGACGATTATGTTTGTTTTTTACACTTAATGCATGCGGAACCCACTTTCCTACCTTCAGAATCTTTCCCATCTGCCGTGAACGAATTGAAATATCTTGTCGAGTTACTCTAAGTTGCTGTGCAAGTTTTTTTTGTTTGACATGAGTTTTGATCGAGTAATACTTGCAACTGATTGTCTGTAACCTTCTGAGAAGCACTGCGTTCTCTATTGCTAATATCAAAATCATCCTCTTTAACAACTAATATAATAAAGAGATAAGGACAATGAGCCAATAATTTCGTTAAAATCTTTTTAAATTAATCTAATACATGATCCTCTTTAAATCACCTAAACCAAAACTCACACGTATTTTTGGATACAACATTGTCTCCAAGAACAGAACAAATTGATTCATATGCTTTAGCAGGGCTTTTTTTCTTTGAGGAAATTCGTATCGAACGTAGTGTCGAATAAATTGCTTGTGGCTCACCATTTTAAAACCATTTAATTTTGAGATTAAGTTTCCAATATTGTGTGAAGTTAATTGTTTTTTTTAATAGTACACATTAAGTGTCACCACATATCAAAAGAGCGCGAAAATATTTGAATTCTAAGTTTAAATTATGCGTTACACAAAAAACGCTTTAAAACTTATTTGTACACCCAATATATGATTCATGTAATCATTACATCCTTATTTACTTTTAGATTATTCTGTAACGAGTATTAATTAAAAATTTCTATGCACTTGTTTATTCCCCGCATACCTGGCGTTTGTATTCGTTGATAATGGTAAGGATTTACGCAGACCTCGTCGCGCTTCTGGGTGAAGGCGTACTCGCAGTGCTCGATCGCCCTCAACTCGTGGTGCGACTGTAGGTCCGGCCAACGCCAAAGTCGGCAGTAAATCACGTGCGGCAGACCCTTGCCGCGAACACCTTGAACGCCGTTGTCGCCCACACCGCCCGGGCTAGGCCTACAAAAGTACAGGTAAAAAGTACCTACATTATTTCATTTAATAAATATAAATCATATTTCCTCCTATCTCATAATCACAAAAGAAAATTTTCCAATGGAATTTACTAAATTCGAAATTTATATTGTATTTATCTATGTATATAATATATATTTTTTTAAAATACCAAATTAATTAAATTCAAAATTTATATTTTTAATATAATAATTAATTTGTGTTGTATTTATATTTGTTAAATATTTATCCTTTTTTAATAATATTTGCGTAGAAGCGGATTGATTTATTGGAATGTTACGAATGTGTGTATGTATGTGATAAAAAATTAAAATTTTCTCCGCAAAATTATGCATTCGTGACATTCCGCCTCAAATCTAGATTTGCTCTGGTTTGCATCGCGTTACATCGCGTCGAAACACGCCGCGCTGGAAGTGGCGAGTATCCGCGAGGAAAACTAATCCGGTTGGAATTCGCTGCGTAAAGCTTTCCCACTAAGAAATTTTGCTAGTGACGCGACATTATATGTTTCCGTACGTTCTTTCGCCACGCAGATCAACACTAGGATTTTGTATAACAATAATGTCGATATATTGTCGTTTTACAATATATGTATTATATTTTATAATACCTGCGCAATGATATCATAACGATAACGACATTATCATTAAGATTTACAGAATTCTATAGTGCTGGTGCGTAAAATACATAAAATACCTAAAAGACGAGGAGATTACAGAGGCAAAAACTGATCTGCAACAGTCTATTTAACCTTTGTGTACGCATCCAACTTTACCAACATTGTTAGACACCCTCGGTACTCACCTCTAATTTTTTCAATTTTTTAAATATTTATGCAATTGAAATGCCATAGTTTCTTTAACGTTTATTTCAATAAATAAACAAAAAATAAGTGCCCGAGGCATTTGAAAATAAATTGCAGCTCGTACAAAGGTAGAAGAAAGCCAGTTTTCGATGTCAGCGTAAGTATAACGCGCGGTCACTAAGGATGTCAGCTGTTCGTTAGCTGTTGAAATAGGTTAGGTTTTGAAATAGAGTCCCTTCCTTACAAAAAAGTTCTTAAAAATTTCTAACTCACCATTTACTTAAAATTGAGTTAAATAACGACGATCTGGACGTCCCCCAAACGAAATTTTAATTTTCAATCCACTTACATGCAAAAATGTACCGTGGTGGGGTATACTGGTACCCGGGTGCGCACACAAGTTAACTTGTCGATATTATATCCGGCAGACTCAAATCGAGATTCTATTACGGTTACGTTGAATACATCAATACTTGATACTTGAGAATTACGTAATAATCAATTTTGAAATTCAAATGAATGAGGAAGGAGATTCAAACAGGAAACGCGCGTTCTCTTCTCCGAACGTAAAATATTTCGACAAATTAATTAAAGAAAATTCGAGAAAATGTTTTTACTTATTTAGGAGAAAAACAAGAAATTAAATAAAAATTAAAAATAAGAACCTCGATGGACTCTCTTCTTGATGTTGACAATCGCAGATAACGTTATGAAGCTTGACGTTGATTAATCACAGTTCCGGGAGAGCGTCGATATTTGCGTCAATATTGCAAGGAAATTAAAATCCAACATTCGCGCAAGGATAACTCGAGGATAGCTCGAGATAGGCACTGGTAAACGATAACGCACGTATTATACACAATACAACAACGCGCGAACAAAAAAGAATTATGAGTGGGACATCCACGGCGAGAGCCTTGAGGCGATGTAAATGATAATAATGACAGGTTTGCCGAGAGCGAAGACCGCGCGCGTTTGCGGAGTGGATAATCGCAGCGTTCCTCCGCCGCCGACGTACAATTAAACGGTATTTAATTGCAAAACTTCTCGCGCGCGTACGATTTCGTCCGTTCCGTTGCACTCGCGTAATCCTGCGCGTTGTGCGCGACTAAAAAGCAAGTACAGAATAATAAAGCTCGCCAATGGAAACTATAGAAAGACTATCAATGTTCCTGTTAACTATAAGCGCGAGCAATTTGCAATTAAAAGCCCCACAGATATGCACAGCAGCAGCCGCGATTTATCATAGAAGAGAGTCCTAGATGTAAAGATTATTATTTTCTACTGCAAAGATTTTCCGCATCCTTTTCCGATCTATTCTAAAAAATAAAAAAAAAAGAAGCTTGCATTTAACTTGATTTAAAATTTTAGTCATCTGTGATATTTACTACGTGACAGATGATCTTTGTTGTGCATTTGTCCTGTATCATTGAAAAGAAAGAGATGCGGAAATGGTCGAAAGTTTAGATGAACCGTATTAATGTACGTAACCAAAGTGGATAAATAAACATTGTGTTGCTCCGTAAAATCGTATAATGAAAAAGAGAGCAGTTCAAGAGATCGAGTTCATAAAATTTATAATGAGATTAGATATGTAACGTTTTTATTGTGCATAAATACGTAACGTATGTCATCACAGCCTTGAATTTTTTTCTAGGTATTCGTGTTTGTACTTTTTCTGGGTGAATATATATGCATACGTAAATGATTTATCTCTTTGATTCTTGTTCGTTCAATATCACGTTGTTTCCTCCTTACTCTCCCTCCCTCTCTCTCTCTCTCTCCCGCCCTCTCTCTCGCTCCCTCCCTCTCCCCCCCCTCTCTCTCTCAGCGTAACGCTCTCAATTATCATTTCTGCGTGACAATGCAATCCATTACATAATAATTTAGAATGGCTGACTCGCTCGATTAATGCGATTTATCCGATTTCTTCTTATCGTTGTCTCTGTCGATTTAATCATCAAAATCGTGAAACTGATCGCGAGATATTTCGGTTAAAATGCGCGGATTCTGGAGGTTCTTCGAGGATACCGTACGCCGAAAGGGACGAAAAAGACGTAGCCATGCGAAGAAGCCGCGAAAACGCCTCGCGCGTCCACACCTGTCTCTTAGTCGTTACGTAAGAAACGACGCGACGATGCGCTCGGGACTCGTCGGTGCGTTAGGTAATAAACCCCACGAGACATGTCGAGTCTATACCCGCTGTGTATCTAATGGCATGTGCCGTGTGGCAAGACAGTCGGAACATAACGTTGCGCGCATATCCAGAATTTCTTTGCAACAGATGACGGTATCATCGACCGCGTTAATCTCTCGCAGCGATCTGTCACAGATGGTGGATGGACATCAAGTTACTTGTTCTGGTTCTAAGTGATGTAATATAATGATTGAGTTTAGCGGAAAGATTTCACTGTTAATTACAGAGGATGAATTAAAAATCTCTTCTTGACGCGACGGAGTAATCAGCCTATTATTTATCAAGTTTTACGTTTTGCTTCGTTTCGATCTTTACACGAGAGATAATCGGCAAGATCGACAAATGCACGCTACCCAATGTACGTGAAAGATCATTGTAAGCATCTCCGTCGTGTGAGAATCTCTTTTGTCCCTTCTCGTCGATTCTCGCCGCAAGTTCCGTTGCGGTGGAGGATGTTCACGATATTTCAGGAACGATTGAATATGCGTCTGCAACCGCAAACTTCATATCATTGTGCACTGTTAAGACGATGCTGGAGAGATGGCCGAATTAATCGATATCGAAAAAACAGATTTTTAATTCCAATTAAAATATTACATCAAGAAAATATTTACATACATTAAGTAAAATATTACGTATATTAAATAAGCCATTAAGTAAAACGTTACGTAAGGTAATCGAACCCAATTTGGACAGTTTCCTAATGTGGACCACTCGCATATAATTATACGATTAATTTCACGATTCATAAGTCATATTATTCATTCTGTTTGTACAAAAAACAGAAAAAAATGATACGACTTGGTTGTGTTATAATATTTCGTAGGTGAGTAATTGCTTGTTATAATTATTAGAGCGTGATTATTAATTTTCGTAGTTTATGTTATTGTAGCTCTATATCAGGAGACACAGTAGTGTCTCCGGCCATGTTCAAAAACTAAAAGACACTACAAGTCTCTTATCCCAAGCCACCAAAGTCCATTTTTGGGGGGTGCATAACTTCTAAAATTTAAAAAATTAGAATCGCACGTAATATGTCTTGAAAGGCGGCATCGGCACGAATATTTTGAGCTAAAAAATTTTAAATCGATCAAGCCGTTCTAGAGATACAAGCGGTTCAAAAAAATTATGATTTTAATGAAAAATTAAGAAACGTCCCCTTCTTTGTCCGTCTGTCCGTCCGTCCGAAATTATACTTTTTAACATCCCCTCTCACCTTTCACTTACACCTCCGCCACAGTATAAGTAAGTACAGTAGTTTCGCTCCGTGTCGGTACCTTTGATCTATGTGTCCTACAGTCAGCCATGTTGTTGGTTGTGCGAGGCCTTTGTTTTCACTGCACATATCAATACCACAGTGACACACAGTGACACAGTATCCATACGTGACATCGACGCCATGATGAAAGTGGTGCAATTCGCGCACCCATAAATTTTGGAGAGTGAAACTACTGTACTTACCTATACTGTGCCTCCGCTATCTTCGACCCACCGCACCCCTCCCCCTCCCCCTCGCCTCACCATCCACCTCATCTCATCAATTAAAGGTGCCAGTTCAAAGTGAACATACATAAAGTGTATGTAACTTTCACCGCCCCGCGCGCAGATCAAATGTCGCTCGAGCGGCATTTGGTCCGCGCACGGCGTGGTGAGGTGAGGGGGACAGTAGAAGGCGGAGGCGAGAAAATCGGCCGAAAGTTACATACACTTTATGTATGTTCGCTTTGAACTGGCACCTTTAATTAATAATATATCAGTTACTTTTCGTGGTAATATATTAGTATTAGATAAAAAGGTCTAAATTTTTGAGTATCTTTTTTTGAACATGGCTTGAACTTTTCATTTTTATGATTTTTTTCTTTATTTATTGATCCTTATTAACGGATCCTTGTTTTAACGTAACTTAATTATATTGTAAATAGAAAATTGTAACATTTGTCATACTGTTAGTAATTTATTATTCCAGATCATGGATTCAAATCA